AGATTACGATGAGATGATAAAAATACACCACACTAATTTATATGTAGAACTGTACAATTTATTCCAAGTGAAAAGCGTATTTACAAAAACACTTGAGAAACAAGTTGATGATATATACAAATTGATAGAAGGCGAAAGTAATGTGTACTCAGGGAGGACAAACTGAGGAGTGTCTGTAAAAGTACAAATGTATGTGATATAGCATCACCTTTCATACCATCTGACCAATAAGGATCAGTAATTTCCTGTCCTTGTCTAGTACCTGGGAAACTCATCAACATTCCCAAATGATGTGTGGTCACTTGAATTAAGGCTACGGTCGCACTAGAGTCAAGCCTGGCTTGACTCACCGCGGGTGAGATTTTCGTAATGTGACCGCATCTGCCCCGACTCGCGCCAAGCGTGACCTCGATCTCAATCTACCTATCTCGATCCCGGCTCAGCACCCATATTGACCCTGGATTGACCCTGGCGTGACCGAGATTGACATTTCCTCATCGCCTGTCGACCAATCACAGTCGATGACGCCGTTGCATTTAGAAGTTCTTGAATAAAAAACCCTTCATGTGTGTTTAATCAAGACGCAATCATTACTTTTCATAAAAGTTAATTCAAATTTTAATTAATAATAATGCGATTGATTTGGAGCGACCAGGAAACTGCTGACCTGGTAGATTTGTGCGGCCAACCCGAGCTGAGAGACCGGATAGAAAATAAAAAAACAAACAACAAAACGGGAATTTTTGGCGTGCTTGCTGACAGATTAGCCAGTCTCGGACATGAGAAGAGAAGTCGGCCCAAATTCAAACAAAAGTGAAGGCATTGCGAGCCCAATACAAGCTGATAAAAGATCAGTTGAAGAAGAATGGTTCGGGCACGTCTGGTGTAAAATCTTTGATTGCGATCCACCCAATCACACGCGCGTATATCGAATCCCGTGAAACAGAGAGCTGGCCAAACTCTCTCTCTACGGCTCTGCTGTTTCGACTTTCATCCAACTAGTGTGACCGACCCAGAATTTCGAGCCTGGCTTGAAATCTCACCCGCGGTGAGTCAAGCCAGGTTTGAGACTCTAGTGTGACCGTAGCCTAAGGTAAATGACCTTCCTAAGCTTGGTGTATAACCCATGAAGTTGGGATATTAGTTAAAAATGCAAGGTATTATTTACACACAGATCCTATATACAAATTTACAGGCAAGTTAACTGCATGTAACCGAGGAGCTGACCTGCAAAATTTAGGGATACCAAGAAATGCCTTTACCAACTTACTTTGAATTTTATCCATGTTGTCAACTCTATTGATATTAATACACTGGCAACCATATGTAAGAATAGGAACAACTACAGTGTTCCAAATGTGAAGTGTCACCTCAGTACAAGAGCCCTGTTTACACACGCCGATACTTTGTATTGAAAAAAAGGCTTTTTGGGAATTACGAATTCTCGCATCAACGTGAGAATTTCCCTTTAGATTGCTGTTAAGTGTGACCCCGAGGTAGGTTACAGAGTCTGTGACTTTCAAGGTATGATTATTTAAAGTCCATACCGGGGCTGGTGATAAACTATAACTATAAATATATATA